AACAACAAACAACGTCAGAAGTGTCTTACCTGGGCTAAAGAAAAACAGACCTGGTCTGTTGCTCAGTTTGCATCTCATTTGGAAACCAAGGACCCAGAGTATGGAGGAAGAATGGAGAGGCAGACATTGCAAGATGCTTGAAGTCCAGTGTGAAGTTTTCACAGTCTGTGTTGATTTGGGGAGCCATGTCATCTGCTGGTGTTGGTCCACTGTGTTTCATTAAATCCAGGGTCAATGCAGCCATCTACCAGGAGATTTTGGAGCACATCATGCTTCCTTCTGCAAACGAGCTTTATGGGGATGCTGACTTCATTTTCCAGCAGGACTTGACACCTGCCCACACTGCCAAAAGCACCAAAACCTGGTTCAATGACCGTGGGATTACTGTGCTTGATTGGCCAGCAAGCTCGCCTGACCTGAACCCCATAGAGAATCTATGGGGCATTGCCAAGAGAAAGATGAGACATGAGACCGAACAATGCAGAAGAGCTGAAGGCCGCTATTGAAGCATCCTGGTCTTCCATAACACCTCAGCAGTGCCACAAGCTGATAGCTTCCATGCCACGCCGCATTGAGGCAGTAATTGCTGCAAAAGGGGCCCAAACCAAGTCCTGAGTACATATGCATGCTTATACTTTTCAGAGGTCCGATATTGTTCTTTGTACAATCCTTGTTTTTTTGATTGCATGTAATATTCTAATTTTCTGAGATTGTGGATTTGGGGTTTTCATGGGCTGTAAGCCATAATCATCACAATTATGACAAATCACCGCTTGAACTATCTTGCTTTGCATGTAATGAGTCTATCTCATATAATAGTTTCACTTTTTAAGTTGCATTACTGAAATAAATGAACTTTCGCACAATATTCAAATTTTTCGAGTTTCACCTGTATATAAAATCTTATGGATAATATACAATTGTATTTGTTTATTTATTGAGGTACATTAGAGTTTTTGGTTTAGAAAAGTTTTTTAATTTAATTATTGAGACTATAGTCAGTTTTAAATAAACACACACGTAATATTACAACTAGATATATAACTCAGCATTAGTATTTAGCCAGTATTAGGTAGCTAATTTTGAGCTCTTCACAAGCTTGCATACTGGATCGCCCAGGCGCATCAGCGGTCGGGCAGTAGGACCTGAGCGTCCAAGGTGGCAATTGCGGCTGCGCATGCGCACTTGCACACACGGGCGCGCGCCTGGCACCAATGATGGTGCAGGGCGCGCTATTTAAACTGGCCAGGCAATGTCCTCATTGCTGCAAGGTCTTGTTCCTGTTCCTGTGTTCCTGTCAGTACGTTTCCTTGTTACCAAACTCTGCCTGTTCTGATTTATGCTGACCCTCTCCTGCTCTGACCCCGGCTCGTCCCTGACCATTCCTCTGCCTATAGTTACTATTGTTTTGGACCCTCTGTTACTGAACCCGGCGTGTGACCTGACTACTCTTTGCCTGCTGCTTGGTACCGCACCTGTCCCCACTGTTACCGACCCGGCTAGTCTGACCTCGCTCACTCCAAGCAGTCATCCATCCATCCCACTCGGATCGGGACCTGTCAGCCCTTCACAGCAGGCTCATCCCAGGCACATACCCTCAGCGGGACCCCTCTACCATCGCCGGGGGTGCCCAGGGGCACGACCTGGTTCCAGTCTTGCACCAAGTCCATCCCCACCATCAGGGGCTCTGGTGAAAAGGCAGACTGGGACTTAGACTCCGCGTCCTGGGAAACCCCGTGCTGTGGACCACTAGAGATCCCGTTGGGCGGAGCCTGACACATACCCACAGGTTTAATTTAGATAATTGACAATATGTGGGTGTTGCAAGCAAATGGTAGTAAAAGTGAGGGTGTAAAATTAGGATCCTCGATGTCAGTGATCAGCACACCCTTCTGCTGTGTGCTTACACTCAAACCGGGCTCCAAAAACATGGCCGCCGCTATGAGGACTACAACAAAATGGCGCCTGGCGGTCTCTATATACATCAATAGGGCGTCGTGTTGTCCAATCAATTCCCCCTGATGAAGCCACGTGACCCGGTGGCGTAATGCGTAGGGGAAGGGCTCTGATGTCACGACACTTAAAGCAACATACAGCAAGTATTTCACAAGATTGGAAATCTTTACTGTGGACTCAAATTTTAACATTTCAATGCGGTTTTAACTTGTAATACTATACTTAATAAATTATGTTTTAAAAAGGATAAGGCACCATATATTTTTTATTACATTCCATGGCCATTATACCTATAGAGAAAAATTCCTAAGGAAGCAAGGAGATCCCCTAGTGTGAAGAGGGATACTCCCATCCACCTAACTGGCTCCAGGAAAACCCATAAGGAAACAAGGAGACCCCCTGCTGGAAAGAGGGAACACTCCGTTTATCCATCCATCCATTCATCCATCCATCCCAGGGAAAGAGGGATCATCCCATCCATTTACCACTTAGCCCCATTAAAGGGACACAAATTTTTTATGACCTCACTTAACGGTTTGGTCAAATACACCAGGTGAAAGCACAACTGGACAAGGTGTACAAAAAAATTTTTATGATTGGTAAACTGCACAATTAATAATTTTGTATCGCAGCACTGGAAGAAGTGTCAAAGTCAAGGATTTAATAAGGACATGTTTGTAGCAATACTAGAATTGCAGAGATATTGTTATGCACATTTGTGAAGCTGGACTGTTATTTATTTATACTTTTTTGCAATTGGTAGTGGAGCACGAGACTATTTCTGATTTCATTTAATATTGTATCTTGTTCTTGCCTTTTCTGTTTGCTTATCATGGCTCTGCTTATAATTCCAGAGATATATATCAGATCTCCCTGAGGAAGCGAGCTTTTGACCTGTGAAACACGTCAGAGCTACTTACATAAAGGAGTTATATACATTAAATTCTCCTTAAGTACTTTGTTTGTAATCTTGGAACTAGTTACAGTTGCAAGAAAAAGTATGTGAACCCCCTTGGGATTACGTGGAGTTTTGCATGAATTGGGCATAAAATGTGCTCTGAACGTCATCTAAGTCACAGCAATAGAAGAACAGTCTGCTGAACATAATACTACACAAACATTAGATGTTGCCATGGTTTAATTGCACGTAACATGTAAACATTCACAGTGCAGGGAGGAAAAAGTATGTGAGGCCCTAGCTTAATGACTTCTCCCAGAGCTAATTGGAGCCAGGAGTGAGCCAACCTTGACTCCAATCAGTGTGATGATATTGGATGTGTTGCTGACGGCTGTCCTGCCCTTAAAAAACACACACCTCTTTTGGGTTTACTGGTTTCAAGAAGCACTGTCTGATGTGAACCATGCCTCGCAGAAAAGAGCTCTCAGAAGACCTACGATCAAGAATTGTTGACTTGCACGAAGCTGGAAAGGGTTACAAAAGTATCTCCAAAAGCCTTGATGTTCATGTGTCCACGGTAAGACAGACTGTCTACAAATGGAGAAAGTTTAGTACTGTTGCTACTCTCCCTAGGCATGGTCGTCCTGTAAAAATGACTGCAAGAGCACAGCGCAGAATGCTGGATGAAGTAAAGAAGAATCCCAGAGTGTCAGCTAAAGACCTACAGAAATCTCTGGCACATGCTAACATTTTTGTTGACACGTCTACAATAAGGAAAACATTAAACAAGAATGGAGTACATGGGAGGACACCACGGAGGAAGCCATTGCTGTCCAAAAAGAATATTGCAGCACGTTTGAAGTTTGCAAAAGAGCACCTGGATGTTCCACAGCACTACTGGCAAAATATACTGTGGACAGATGAAACCAAGATTGAGTTGTTTGGGAAGAACACAACACTATGTGTGGAGAAAAAAAAGGCACAGCACACCAACATCAAAACCTCATCCCCACTGTAAAACATGGCGGAGGGAGCATGATGGTTTGGGGCGGCTTTGCTGCCTCAGGGCCTGGACGGATTGTTGTCATTGATGGGAAAATGAATTCCAGAGTTTATCAAGACATTTTGCAGGAAAACGTACGACCATCTGTCCGCCAACTGAAGCTCCGCAGAGGATGGGTGATGCAACAGGACAATGACCCAAAGCATACAAGTAATTCAACAAAACAATGGCTGCAACAGCACAGAATACACCTTCTGGAGTGGCCCAAGAGTCCTGACCTCAACCCGATTGAAATGCTGTGGCATGACCTTAAGAGAGCGATTCACACCAGACATCCCAAGAATATTGCTACACTGAAACAGTGTTGTGAAGAGGAGTGGTCCAAAATTACTCCAGATCGTTGTGCAGGTCTGATCTGTAACTACAGGAAACATTTGGTTGAGGTTATTGCTGCCAAAGGAGGGTCAACCAGTTATTAAGTCCAAAGGTTCACATACTTTTTCCTCCCTACACTGTGAATGTTTTTACATGTTATGTGCAATTAAACCATGGCAACATCTAATGTTTGTGTACTATTATGTTCAGCAGACTGTGTTCTTCTATTGTTGTGACTTAGATGACGTTCAGAGCACATTTTATGCCCAATTCATGCAAAACTCCACATAATCCCAAGGGGTTCACATACTTTTTCTTGCAACTGTATATCAAGCTTGATGCTTGTAATTTCACAACATGCAATGATGCTTTTAGAGAACCTGTTGATGCTCAATTTTTGTACTACAATCAGGTTTTTTTATATTATTATAATATTACTAAAGTTATGACTTTTATAACACTTTTATATTTTGTTGTTGGGGTTGTTACCCAAAAAGTCTCAGTAGCTTTTCTTTGTTGGGGTTTTCACATTTTTCAGTGTCTTTATAATAAGTAACGCGGTACCAGTAAAACCCAGTGCCAAGGTAGAGACCAGTATACTTTTTTTTTCGATATCACATCTATACTATACTATACTCTTTGCAGGTAGTGCAGTGATGCAAATTCAACACTCATCTGAATAAGTTAAAAAAAAAAAAAGTTTAAAAATTGAAAAAAAATTACTTCAGATGAACATATATTAGCTGCATTTAAAATAAATCTACTTACCCATCCACACCTCTCCAAACTGACCAGCACCTAGTTTTTTTACCAGTTGCAGTTTGTTGCGAGGGATTTCCCATTCATCAGCCCACCAAGGTTTTTGTGGACGTTTAGTTTGACATGGCTCTTTTAGCAATGTACACAGTCCATCCAAGGATACTAGACAAAACAGAGTATTTTATATCTTCTGCCAAATCAAAACATAGAGACACTTACAGCATGATAAAAGAGACTGCTAAGTTCTAAGTGTGACAGTTTATTTCTCTTTTTAAAGGAAAATATTAATGGTTTCGGATCAGTTTTCTGTTTCAATATTTTTATTAAGAAAGTTTTGTTTTATGAACACAACAAGCTCAATATACGCCCACGCAGGGGCCGAGCATAACAGTAACTCAGGAACAGGCACATCCTGCTGACTTGTATTAGCCAAATAATAAAATGACCAATAACAGAAAGGAAGGACGGCAAAAAGCCGAACCAAATATTATCAGCAGTAGTCAAACAGAATACGGTAAAGAGAAGAGGATAGAAAAAAGAAAAAAAAGGAGTCAGAAAGAAAACAGAGGAAAGGGAGACTAGAAGAGTCACGGATCCAGGGCTAGCACAGGTAGCAATTATAAGGGGTCATAACTAGTAAGGGGCTCTGATGGCAAGGAATATCATATCCAAGGTAAGAAATCTCAGATAAGAATCATGAAGAATGGTAGACATCTGTTCATTGATCAACATATCATTCATCCGGGTCTTCACCCCTTGGAAAACAACCGAAGGGGTTCTCCAAGCTTGAGCTATGGCGCGTTTGGCCGAAATAAATAGGTAGGATCTCTGCTGAGATCTAGAGAGATGGGCACATCTTAGTTTTCTGGAGGGTTAGTTATCCCTTACCCTGACGCTGTCATACTGTGATTTTATCGTTTTTATTGTTTGCAAACATCTGCTTTTGACTTTAATAAATTACTCTTAAATACTACACTATATGGCACCCTTTATGGCCTACCTCATCGCAGGCTATCCCCTCTTCAGTCTATCATGAATGCTACTGCCAGACTCATCCACCTTACTAACCGTTCTGTATCTGCCATCCCTCTCTGCCAATCCCTCCACTGGCTTCCCATTTCCCAACGGATAAATTTCAAAACATTAACAATAACATATAAAGCCATTTATAACTTTGCCCCAAATTACATCACCGATCTTGTCTCCAAATATCACCCAAACCGTACTCTCCGCTCCTTACACGACCTCCTATTCTCTAGCTCCCTTGTCTCCTCCTCCCATGCTTGTCTCCAGGACTTCTTCAGAGCTTCCCCCATCCTCTGGAACGCTCTACCCAAATTTATCAGACTATCGCCTACTCTGCTCACTTTTAGGTGATCTCTGAAAACCTATCTCTTCAGGGAAGCCTATTCTGCCCTCAGCTAATAATGGAATCTTCTATTCCTACTACCAGTCCATCCCCCACAGTTACTACCTTTTGTACCACTAGCCCCTCCCTTTTAGTTTGGGCTCCAAGGAGCAGGGCCCCTCCTATCCCTCTTGTATTGAACTGTATTGTTGCTGTATTGTCTCCCGTTATATTGTAAAGCGCTGAGCAAACTGTTGGCGCTATATAAATCCTGTATTATAATAATAATAATAACTATGTAGTACAAGGGCCTTGTGAAAAAGTCGGAAGTGACGAAACGCGTCAGTGTCGTGACGTCGGACGCTGAGCCAGAAGGAGCAGCGCGGCCATTTTTGAATTAGTCACAACAGTGAACGGACTATAGCGAGGATGGATGGTATATTCTAAGATGTAAGTTTATGAATAAAGTGTGAATTACATTTTACTCCACTGAATCTGCTCCTATTTTCCTGTGAGGAACGGGGACCCCGGTACCTATGACCTATGGCTGTATGAGAAAGGGATCCCATTGTGTATTCCTGAGAGGAAGACGTACCTCCTAGGAAGGTTATCTTTTGGCATAAAGGAATCCTAAATGCTTTGACTCACAGCAAGAGGGTAATTGCATTTTATCCCATAAGCAGAGTGTGGCACTGTATTTGGCACAACTGTCACGGATCATTGTTTCACGGATCACGCTGTGTGTTTTTGTGATATTTTCACGGTTGCAGTGTTGTCTCACTGGACCACTAGGGATATGGTGTATTCACTTCAATTTTTACATATATGATTTATATCACTAGTGTGATTGCATGTTATCACTTACAGTAATTTTGTATCAAAGATAATGCACTATATTTATTATATTTTTTTTTGAGGGTCCTGTGGATTGAACGGGAAGATTTGGACACATTTGGAATATTGTTTTTTTTTGTCTTCATTTATTTTATTTTTCTATTTTAATTTTTGGTTTTTGATTTTGGACTATGGACTGTGGTATGGACATTTTAAGAGCAGTATGAGACTGTGGGAGAGGGTATTTATAGATTATTGAAAAGGTTTATGGTATTTGCAGTTTCAAGGGTGGAAGTTTGACTTTTCTGTGGGAAGTTATAGAGTATTGATTTATTATTAGTACAAGGGCCTGCCTGACTGCATACAAATTGAAAGTGTTTAGGTCTGACCTCATATTATAAGGTTTGGGTAAATATAAAGGAAAATTGTACAAGAAAATTGTATAATGTACGGCCAGCTTTAGTAAATCTTCCCATTTATATGTGTCTCTAAATTTGATTTGATCACCACCTGATAAAAAAAAAAAGTAAATATGAGCTATTCATGTGCAACAGTTCTATTTTGCTGGCTGAATAAAAGAAAATCATATATTTTTAAAGAATTTATTTATTTAAACCTGAGCCTAAATTAACAGGTTCCTAGCCACCCTCTCTTTCTCAATCCAAAATTAAACTAGGAACTATGGACTATGGGATTTGTAGTATGCATAGGACAGCGACATAACCGCAACTAGCGTGCACTGTTTGTTTCAAACAAAAGGAAGTGTGTGAAAAAGAAAAAGTTTGGGAGCTCACAGAGGACATTACAAGGAGACAGAAAAATACAGTAAGAAACAATTTCATGACAGATTACAGCGTCATTGAGTAGTGGATGTGTATGGATTATTTTTGAAAAATAAAGATACAGTTTAGTGTCGCTTTCATATGCAAAGTACTATACATTACCTATTAATGTACAATAATGAATATACCACCATTCTAAGTGGCAGTATGACATGGCAAGGTAGCAATAAGATCAGGATAAGATAAAATACTTTACTTATTGGTGTGTTAAAAAAACACAATGAATCTTTACTGTTCTCATAGCGGCATACAATTCATAATAAATAGTTAACATTAAACAACACATTACTGTGCTTAAAAATGTGGTATGCATTTATAAAAAAAAATGCATATTGCATTTTTAACGTGTTTTTAGTGCATTGTGTTAAATATCAACATAACACATATTGCATTTTTAAATGCGTTTTTGAAGTGTTTAATGGCCTATTTATTACATCATTTCCCAGCATGCACCTATGAAGCTTGAACATGTAACCACAGAAACACAACGCAATGTGTTTTTGGCTTGCTTCTATTGATTTCTATGAAAGGTGCATTTTCGGTGCAATTTATACAGTGCATCAAAATGCACCATGCAGGACTTTCAAAACACAGTGAAAATGCTGCACACTATTGTGAACAGATACAAGGGATTTAAAGAGGAATCATTTTCATGTACTTTTGTCATACTGGAAAGATAAGTTTTACCACGGCAAAAGCGCACCAGTGTGAAAAGGACCTAAATTATGAACATTTAAACAAGATATCTACAAAAATAATATAGAAAACAATATCCCCCTTAAAGAAAGAAAGTTCAGTTCTGTATTTATTTCGAGCATCTTGTACCTTACTTCTCCATACAGTGGGAACAAAAATGCTTACTCATATATTAATGCAATGCTTACCCGAATAATGTTGTACAAGTTCCCGAAGAGTTTTGAAAGTTATTCTTGGAGAAATGTAGAAACCTCCATCATCCATGTTCCGAATCTTGTAATGTTTCACTACTTCTCCTTGAACTTGATCAAGATCACGTACAGATAAGGAATAAGAACCTGAAGAGATGTCAGTGATGGCAAAATAAGTGTGGAGCTTTGGTAACATAAGTATGAAGAAATATATGCTCCTGTACAATCCTTACCATTTTTAATAAAGTACACTGCTCAAAACAATTAAAGGAACACTTTTTAATCAGAGTATAGCATACAGTCAATTAAACTCCTGGAATATTAATCTGGTCCGTTAAGTAGCAGAGGGGGTTGTTAATCAGTTTCAGCTGCTTTGGTGTTAATGAAATTAACAACAGGTGCACTAGATGGGCAACAATGAGATGACCCCCAAAACAGGAATGGTTTTACAGTTGGAGGCCACTGACATTTTTTTCTCTACCCATCTTTTCTGACTGTTTTTCACTAGTTTTGCATTTGGCTAGTGTCAGTGTCACTGCTGGTAGCATGATGCGATATTTGGACCCTACAGAGGTTGCACAGGCAGTCCAACTCCTCCAGGATGGCATATCAATACGTGCCATTGCCAGAAGGTGTTCTGTGTCTCCCAGCACAGTCTCAAGAGCATGGAGGAGATTCCAGGAGTCAGGCAGTTACTCTAGGAGAGCTGGACAGGGCCGTAGAAGATCCTTAACCCATCAGCAGGACCGGTATCTGCTCCTTTGTGCTAGGAGGAACAAGATGAGCACTGCCAGAGCCTTACAAAACATCCACCAGCAGGCCACTGGTGTGAATGTCTCTGGCCAAACAATCAGAAACAGACTTCATGAGGGTGGTCTGAGGGCCGACGTCCTCTGGTGGACCCTGTGCTCACTGCCTGGCACCATAGAGCTCGTTTGGTATTTGCCATTGAACACCAGAATTGGCAGGCCTGTCACTGGCACCCTGTGCTTTTCACAGATGATAGCAGGTTCACCCTGAGCACATGTGACAGACATGAAAGGGTCTGGAGAAGCTGTGAAAAACATTATGCTGCCTATAATATCATTCAGCATGACCATTTTGGTGGTGGGTCAGTGATGGTCTGGGGAGGCATATCCATGGAAGGATGCACAGACCTCTACAGACTAGACAATGGCACCCTGACTGCCAATAGGTATCGTGATGAAATCCTTGGACCCATTGTCAGACCCTACGCTGGTTCAGTGGGTCTTGGGTTCCTCCTAGTGCACAACAATGCCCGGCCTCATGTGGTGAGAGTATGCAGGCAGTTCCTGCAGGATGAAGGAATTGATACCATTAAATGGCTCCCACACTCGCCTGACCTAAATCCAATATAACACCTCTGGGACATTTATGTTTCGGTCCATTGGACACCACCAGGTTGTACCTCAGACTGTCCAGGAGCTCAGTGATGCCCTGGTCCAGATCTGGGAGGAAATACCTCACGACACCATCTGTTGTCTAATTAGGAGCATGTCCCCACATTGTCAGGCATGCATACAAGCACGTGCGGGCTTTTATTTATGGTCAGCTTTTATTATTCAGTTAATACCTTTATGTCTAATAGAAGAAGAAAAACTTTCTGTGACTGCTTAAAAAGTGTTAGCTGGAGTTGGTCAGTTATGTAAAGTCTATCTAAATCTACTAGTCCATCTAACACTACCCTCTCTATAGGTTGACAATGCTGCTGTCCAGGGGTGGCTAGTCTGCTCCTCCATAGATACAGTGAAGCCAAGACTGAACATGTGCTAGTGGATAAATCTCTAAGTGAAATTAAACAAAAAAAAAAGAAAATGAATGCAGCCACCACATCTAAGCACTGGTAAGCTGCAATATATAGCATTTTTGTTTTTGGGTTTAGATGCACTTTAAAGGCTGCATTTACCATGTAACCTGTTGTTGTTCTCCTCAGCCCAGTTATGCCTTGACATGGATACATTTATTACCAGTACAATGGGTTTAAATTGAAAAGAAAGCTACTTTTCAGAGACTGAAAAGGTAAGTAAAAGTTTATCTTTGCAAGTGATAGGTCCAGTTAAAACAAGAAATGGGAGTGGTGCAGTGCTTGACAAATGAGGTAAAACAAGAACCTTGGATTGTCAGAAGTGGATAATCTGTGTGTTAAAGCGGTAGTAAACTATAATAAGACTTACCTGTAGGTACAGTAAAGATCTCCTAAGCTTTCACTTTTTAGGCGATATTTACATGTGTAGCAGCCTCTCAATGGATGTCATGCCGTCCATAGAGAGCGCGGTGCGACGACCGTGACTTTATCGTGGCTCAGCCATTCAAACTGCTGGAGTCCACGATGCTGGAAAGAAGACCGCATGAAGATGGAATCCCTGTCAGCAGTGGCAGCGCATCACTGGAGGGATTCGTTTTGTAGGTAAGTCTGTCATAATGTGCTAGTATGTGGTGCATACTAGCACATTATGACATGAGCCATGGGGGGACCAGTTTGTTGTTTTTAACATGGTTTACTACTGATTTAATAAGCCCCAATGTTTCTCTTTTCTATGAAGACATCTATATCTGGTTTTTTTTCATCAGTTTGTGGACTAAAATACCTTGGCTGGTCTCACTCTCTCTTATTAGAAATGATCCTTGCTGATTTCCTGGAGCTAAAAGCTGACGCTCTGCATCTTTCCGTCCGAGGTTTTTGAAGAACCAACTGAAAAAAATGAACAGGTTGAATCATTACTTCAGAGTCATGATTGCATAAAATGCATTGTTGATATCAGAGGGGATACTAAGGATTGTGTTTATAAAGCAAGGGTTTCAAATTACAGTGATTGGTTAATCTGCAGTGAATGTTTGGTGAATGTCACATTCAGTGCTTTGTAAATGTAACACGCTCCAGTGTGGATAGTTTTTTGTTGCAGTTAGAGGCTTGCTAGAAGCTTGGGTGTGAGTCAGCCTGGGAGTGAGTCAGCGTTACTTGGTTACTTGGGGTTAAGGCTGGATGGCTCTACAGCTCAATTTTCTGAAACCTCCCCCTGCTCTAGAAACCTGCAGAAGTTTCTAGAAGCCAGTAGGCAGGGGTAAAGAGGGGCTGATCTGCATACTTAGGGGAATCTGGCCAATCCCCAGCAGGAGGCCTGGCATGGTGGCTAGGTCAGTCCTATGAGAGAGCCTGGTCAGCAGGGTAGTCGGGTGGAAGATGGAGTGAGGAAGTGCTGCTGGTATGGAACCTGGGAGGGGGCCCCAGCAGAGGGGAGTCTACCTACAGCAGGCTGGGAGTTGGAAAGAGGGACATCCACTGTTCCACAATATACAAAGAAGGACAGCCTGTCAGCAGGGGAAGAAGCCAGCCCAACGGAAGGCCTGAAAGCAACTTCGCCTTTACAGATACAGGAACAGGACAGTGAGTACTTCTACTCCCCCTAGGCCAAAGAAGGGGGAGGGTGGTCAGGTGCAATACCTAACTAGTTCTCCCAGGGACTGCAATATTGGTATGTCTCGGAATCCCTTTCCCTGGGATACTCTTCATGACAGACAGGTGGATGAGAAGATTTTCATCTGGGGTCTGAGGAGGTTCATTTAAGTGGACCAAGTGCTCCTTGCAAAGACTGTGTGTCGATTTGCCAGAAGAGAAGAGCCACTCCTGAAGGAGTAGAGAGCTTAGGATCTGGCTTTTTCCTGGATCGTTGTCTTTTTGTTTCTAAGAAGTTGTCCTCCAAGTTGTTTCAGTTCCATTGGGCAACCCATATACCCCTAGACCTCTTCCAAGTTGTTAACCCCTAACAAAAACCAAGTTCATAGACTGTTTACTGACTGTGGATGCAAGTGTGGAAATGCATGTTGCCTAGCTGTGCAGAGCTGAAAGGAACACAAAAACAACAGCAGCCTTCAACAGGGTAATGCTACATTAATAGTCTCCCTCTCTTTAAAGTGATTCTAAAGGCTTTTTTTTTTTTTAAAACAACATACATGTCTATGCTTACCTTTTGTGTGCAGTGGTTTTGCACAGAGCAGCCCTTATCCTCCTCTTCTCAGGTCCCCTGACGGCGCTCCTGGCCCCTCCCTCCTGTCAGGTGCCCCTACAGTAAGCAGCATGGGGGCACCCACTGCTACTTGTGTCCATTCATACATGGAGCAGCAGCTCTGCTCCACCCCCTCTATCTTCTCATTGGCTCACTGGCTGTGATGACAGCAGTGGGAGCCAATGAGGAGAGGGAGTCCAGGGATAGCTGAAACTCCAGTGCACATCGCTGGATCGAAAGGGGGCATAAGTGAGTATTCGGGGGGGCTGGGAGGATGCTGCACAGAGAGTTTTTTTACCTTCATGCATAGAATGCATGAAGGTAAAAAAAAAAACCTTGTGCCTTTACAACCACTTTAATAATACAGTGCCAGTCAACACACATTTAAACCCAAATTAACCCTCCTAATTTATTAGTTTAATGCAGTCATACTGGACATACATTAATGAATATATCTCTTTTTAGGCCCCCTTCAGGGCGGACTCTGCTGAGCAGAACGGGCAGATGACAGGTCAGTGTCCACTCCGTTTATGCAGAGTGGACACAAACAGCCCGCTCTGTTCTATGAGCGGCTGGGTGTAAATGAACCGGCTGTCTGTTTACACCTGACTGCCCTCTGAACAACTAAATGAAAGGGGAATGGATCACATTTGTTTTTTGCGGATCAGGTCAGAATAAAGGTAGGCAGGTATAAACAAGTGGTGCACCGAAATGAAAATTCTGGTACCGAAGCCAAAACCGAAAATTCAGGATACACTTGGCTGAAAACCGAAACCGAAATGGACAGTTTTTAAAATTAATATATTTTTCAAACGCAGTCTTTTTTGGGAAAAAATACACTTTATATAACCCAATTTTTTGTAAAATATGAAAGATGATGTTACGTCGAGTAAATAGATACGTGACATGTCATGCTTTAAAATTGCGCACGCTCGTGGAATGGCGTCAGACTACAGTACTCTATGCGTGGTGCTTTAAAATTTTCTACAGGGGATGGGGGCACTTTAAACTCTTTTAAAAATTATATTTATTTATTTATTACGTTGTGCCTTTAAAAAAAATGTTTAATCGCTTTTATACCTATCACAAGGAATGCATGCATCCCTTGTGATAGAAATACTTAATGACAGGTCCTCTTTATGGAGAGATATGGTGTCAATAAAACCCAACATCTCTCCTCTACAATGTAAAGCATTAGATCAAAAAAAGCATTGTTGTTTACAAGGCGCCGGAACTGGAAGTAACATCGCTGTGGTCCTTCAACGGCATAGAGATGAGTGGAGGCCATCTTTCCTTCATTTATCTCTATGCCCAGCGCCGGGATCGGTCGGTGGTTTCTTAGATAAGGGTGAGAACTACCAAGTGGCGGAGGATGGTGGCAGCGGCGGGGGCGGGCGGTGGCAAGGGACAACAGCAGCGGGCAGACGGCGGCAAAGGGGCGGGGTTATTTTCAGCACTTGTATCTGTGCTTATTTTCATATCGACCAATGGCCAGTAGGGGTGTTTTCAGCCAAAATGTTTCTACCAGCGAAATTTCGGCGCATCCCTAGTATAAACGGACACATGTCCTTTTACATCTGCCTGTTCATAGAGGAGAATGGAGGGTCCGATTGGGTCTACCTGAAAAGTGGACCGGCAGACCCGATCGGACCGATCATGTGAAAGGGGACTTATACTTTTTGTTTTCTGCTAAGTGCTATAGCAAAGGTTTAAAAACCTGTGCTGCCAGCACATTGTAAAGCCTGACCACATAGCTATCCTGTGGTCCATTACACCACACTGAATACTGCTCTGATCAACATTGGTCTGACACATCCCACTGCACACTAATCAGCATTGCTCTCCCTCCCTGAGCAGAGCTGTTGATTAGTGTTCATTGGAGTGTATAAAAAAGATGGGCTGCTGCTACACTCCTAGTGCTGCCAGCATAGCGTTTTTTAACCACTCACCTACTGGGCAATTATATCCCCTTCGTGCCCAGGCCAATTTCCAGCTTTCAGTACTGTCACACTTTGACAATTGCGTGCTCATGCAACATTGTACCTATATTAAATTTTTATAATTGTTTTCCAAACAAATAGAGCTTTCTTTTGGTGTTAATTAATCACTGCTGGGTGTTATTTTTTGCACTATAAACATAGAGCAAACAATTTGAAAAAAAAAAAGTTTTTTCTTTGTTTCTATCATAAAATTTTGCAAACAGGAAATTTTTCTCCTTCACTGATGTCCATTTATGAGGCTGCACTGATAGGCAGCACTGATGGACACTGATGAGGTGGCACAGGTAGGCAGCACTGATGGGCCCCGATAGGCTGCACTGATGAGGTGGCACTGATGAAGCGGCACTGGTGGGCATTGATGAACAGGCACTGATGATGCTGCACTGATATGCAGCAATGATGGTCACTGATAGGCGGCAGTGATGGACACTGATAGGTGGCACTGATGGGCGACACTGACGGACGGAGCTGACTGATGGCACTGACTGAAGGCACTGATTGACAGCCCTGACTGGCAGCATGGACTGATGGCACTGACTGGTGGCACTGCTGGGCACTGATGAGTGGCACTGCTGGGCAGCACTGATGAGTGGCACTGCTGAGGGGCATTGATGGGTGGCACTGATGGGCGGCACTGCAGGGCACTGATCATCAGTGCCCTGATGATCAGTGCCGATCTCCTCTGTGACAGCTGCAGGTTACCAGCAGTACTTTCCTCATACTGTGACAGTGGGAGGAAAGGGCTGCCAATAACAGGCAACTGTATTTACTCCATGATATGCTGTGTCATTGGACACAGCTGATCACGTGGTAAAAGGCCACTGTGATTGGCATTTTACCTCACCACGTGATCAATGGTATAAAGATAATGGAAAGAAGCGCCTTAGTACTATACGTGGGTAAGCTGCTATGCACAAATGAGGTACCAATAACCCCTAAAAGTCAAATGTATATATAAATAAAGTGCAGCGCTTATAAAATCACAAAAATGGCAAGTGTTAGATCAAGATAAAAAGTCCTCCTGCAAATCAATGAAAGAGTATAGGTGCTCAGGTGCTCAGGTGTCTTGATCCTGGTATCCGTGTAAATATATGATAAAGCAATGCGCACTCACCAGACCCACATAAAGTATGCGCCTTTGTATATAATCCAGATGTCATCCGGTAATGGGTGGTCCTCCCTCAACTGCATATGGGGCTGTTGGTCCTCTCCAATTGGGAGTCCACCTGGTGATTACTGGTGAGAGATATGATCCGGGTACCTCCGGTACATCCAGGAGTAGGTCTGTAAATTAGAATGCTTCCCCAAGGGGTAACAAAGGTACTCCCATAGTGTAGTAATTGGTATAAAAATGAAATATATTAAGGTACATCAGGTGCACAAAATCGTTGCAGACAGTTATTGGTGCATAACTAACCGTCTGGAATGTTAAGATGGCCGCCAGAGCTCCGCGTTGCTCTGGCGGCGTGACTTCACGGCGTGGTGTGGCTCCTCCTTACGCGTATCGTGCTCCGGCACGTCTTCAGAGGGGGGTTGCCAAAAGGTTTTGGTACCCGGATCATATCTCTCACCAGTAATCACCAGGTGGACCCCCAATTGGAGAGGACCAACAGCCCCATACGCAGTTGAGGGAGGACCACCCATTACCGGATGACATCTGGATTATATACAAAGGCGCATACTTTATGCGGGTCTGGTGAGTGCGCATTGCTTTATCATATATTTACACGGATACCAGGATCAAGACACCTGAGCACCTATACTCTTTCTTTGATTTGCAGGAGGACTTTTTATCTTGATCTGACACTTGCCATTTTTGTGATTTTATAAGCGCTGCACTTTATTTATATATACACGTGATCAACTGTGTCTGTAGGACACAGCGATCATGGAGATCGCCGGGTGCGGCCCCTGGGGCGCGCAGGAGGGTGCATTCTGGGAGGACGTCATATGATGCCCTCCCAGAACTGGGTAACTGTGCAGTAGCCATTCAAAAAACAAACGGAAATTCCCAGCTCACTTACCAGCGAGCCTGCAACAAACTGAATGAACCCTATCTAACAGTTAACGTTAAAAGGTTAATTATAGGTTGGAGTGGTTGCCATTTGCTTGAATAGTTGGTGAATTGGTGTGGGGACACATTGGATTCCTTCAGCTGCCATTGTGCTTTTGCTGGATGTCCAGTGCGTCCCTGTATAATTATGTGTGCAAAGTAAACCCCTTTGTTTTTAATGTGTACTGTTAGATAAGGTCAGTTCAGTTTGTTGCAGGCTGGCTGGTAAGTGAGCTAGGAATTTTTGTTCTTTGGCTTGGTAAACTAAGTATCTTCCTCCATGTGTCAGCTCTTTACTATGTGGCCCTGCTTGGTGCCATACAGCCTTTATAACCAAAACACCCCCACTGGGTCCTCTTCTTACTGTATCCAGGGGAGCAAGGTACCCCATCACATATGGCGAGTATGAAGAGGACCCTTGGAAGTAAGTTTTGTTGCAAATGCTGTGCAGCACTGAGCATGGCCACCCAATGAAGATCACTGAAATTGGATGATGTGTAAGTATTTTACCAGTCAGGCTGCACTCTCTGAGTGGAGAGAATTAAGTGACAACTGTGCTAAAACTGCAGATGTCCTTTAAAATATATTAATAGGCTAAATGTTTTCATAGTTTTGGGTAGAGTAGGAAAGGATTAAGGATGCTACTTTATTTATTGCTTTCTATGTACCAATGAACAAATTTCCCAATGATTTCTGTCCCAGAGATACAACAGGAAGCTAGAGGAAATCTCCAAAAGTGAGGAGAATTACCCTCCCAAAGAGTTTTTCACAGTATTGGTGTAAGCTGTGGAAGATTTTTCTTTAACTTTCTTTCTGGTGGTAACTTGGAATTTTGGCTTTTCTAAAATTTTAGACAAAATAAAGTGGTCATTTATTCCAAACATTATCTGTTTGTCATATACCGTACTTGCTTCTATGATATATGTATATGTAAAAACTGTTCAACTGTTCATTATTGCAAAGGATAAGAATGTCAGTGCAGTTTATCTTTTTGTTTCAGGCCCCCCCAACACTTACGGCTCCGAGGCTATTCCGCTTATGGCTGCCACAAAGTTGAATGGTATCAGTCCCTCCTCTCCTGTGTTTAGTGACCTGGCTTTCCACCATTCACCATTGCTACAAGGAAAAATAAGGTGACATTTGTGAAATACAACAGTCAATGAGAATATACACATTGGTAGATTATGGTAAATTTATATATGCAAGTGTCAGTTAATATTTAGGATAGCTACATCTGGCATCTACTAACATCCATTATCGATAGGTTATATAATTTTATACTTTTACAGCCTATTTGCTATCATTATACTTTACGCCTTCACAGTTGCCTGGGATCACTGCTTTCTGCTTGGCTATTTTTTATAGCTGCTATAGATTGTCTGTTACTAATTTGGCTCATGTGTTATCACAATTAATTCTGTATGGTTCATCAGCCATTGTGGGAATGCATTAAATCATGCCCCTTGTTATAGGATGCCTACTCATCAATGGGAGCCATTTGGGTTTCTTATAATTAATTACTGCATGGAGCATAATGGTGGTTGCATTATAAGTCTCTTTATGGATTGTGTAATCTGGAACTCGGCGGAGTGGCAATGTCATAAATATACTTAGAGAATTTAGACATTTTGATATTGGTATTTTTTGTGTAACTCATATAGTAGTAATAATGTGAAAACATTCCTAGAGTTACAGGAATATTGAAGTCCTATAAATGACTGCATGTGGCTACTGGTGGAACTGATAAACCCCTATTTCTAAGATTACATTGACAGTAGTGCAGTCAGATATTGACCTGATTTTCAGTATGATTATGTAGCCTGCAGGGGCAGACTGACAACTCATGGGGCCCCCGGGCAATAGGGGATCATGGGGCCCCTGTGTCCTTGCCCAAACTCAAAAAAGCCTATGAAAAAGGTACCAGGGGCATCTCATGGGGCCCCCTACTGACCCCGGGCCCTCGGGCAGTGCCCGAGTTTCCAAATGGTCATTCCGCCCCTGGTAGCATGACTTGGTTGTGTTTTGGATGTCCTTTGCATATTCTATGAGGCCAAAATCACAGTTAATCACACCAAAGTCGCATTGATATGAACAGGCATCTTTGAAAAAGAGATTTCCATTTTCATGCTGTGTGACTATAATCCCAACAGAGATCGCACTAGTGTGAACCAGACCTAATCTCTCCATTCTTATTTCATTTGTAGGGGGTCAGTTCCTTGGGATAGTTGAAAAAAACAATTCTTTAATATATTGTTGGTATGGTTTATTGCTGAAAAATGTTGTTTCCTCAGGAATGGCCAATCAATCTAATATGTTGCATTTTAGCAGTCCTTAGATATGATGGCTGCATTAGTTTTCTTTTTTCAAGATAATTACAGAAAAAACTACTTGTCGATCCTGCCAAATATCATGTGTCCCTGTAACCTTTTGTGCACTGAACAGACATTTCAAAAAATGTTATCAGCTACCCAAGTATTTTATGTAAACTACCAAAATAACTCCCTTCTATATAATAAAGATGAGGAGGAAGGCAGGTATTTGTAGTCCAAATCAAGAAAAGATCCTTGGGTGAGAGAACATTGTCACCCTAGAATAGGAAGTGTGTAACTGGCAGGATCATAAAATGACATTAGGATAACCCCCCCCAAAAAAAAAAAAAAAAAAAAGAAAACAAACGCAGCCACTACATCTAAGGGTCTGATAAACTGCAATATACTTTTTGGGGGGGTTTAGGTATGTTTTAAGTTTCAATGTGGGAGGGAGAATGTTATGGGTTTAATCTTTGCATACACTGTATAATACAAAATATATTATAGCTAAGTTATAAATGCAGCTAAATGTAATGAAGCCATGGCAGCACCATTGGAAGTAAGGTTAGATTTTGGTGCAGAAGATCCTAGCAAAGAAAAAGGGAGTATACAATCAAGGGGTTACATTAGGGTTTATTTCAGGGAGGGTACATGTTAGGAATACATGAAAGCAGTGTGATGGGGGCATTAGGGTGGGGGCAATGCACTCTGCACTGAACACTGATGCCATTTACTCTGTGCGGACAGCTAAACTATCATAAGTACAAGGGTTCTACATGCTTGTTTAAACACAATGTTGAGGTACACTCACGATTCCAGAATCTGCAACCTGTCTCCAGCCTTAAAGCCAAGGTCACCAGTATGCACAGGTTCATAGTCATATAAAGCTACCACCTGGTTATCTGTAGAACAAAAAAACAAATTCACACAGCACAAGGTCAAAAATAAATATTGCACCATTTTTTTTTTTATTGTACTATAGAAAAAAATACCAGCCATCACAATATTTCTCTAAATTCTTTTTTTTTATTATTTAGACAATAGATTTTTATCAATTTTACACAAAAAAAAAAAAGCTACCACCAGGTTATCTGTAGAACAAAAAAAAAAACAAATTCACACAGCACAAGGGTAAAAATAAATATTGCAAAGATATTAGCAGCTGACAAGAGCAGACCTGCCATTAAGTGGTATATTACAAATCCAATGCGGAGTAATAATCACTAAATTAGTGAATGCAAATAGTATTTATTTAGATCACATAGATCATGGAAAGGTTGACATTATATCATGGTGAACAGTTTTTAATCATATGATTGAAAACTGTTCACCATGATATAATGTCAACCTTTGAATATACTGAGCAATTGTCAGTATATCAGGATTTCACCTGTATGGTAAAGATTTGTTGAAGTGTTGTTTTCTTCTATTGCAATGTTCACTGGAAGATTCTGCTTAAAGGAGACTGTGCTATCCTGCTACCCCTGGATTACAAATACTCTCCCATGCAGAGAGCGAGCGCTCTTCCATTGATTAAAGGGCCCCAACGTTGAGAGACTTTAAGTTTCATCCCACTGGCCAGTGGTTAGGTAGGACATTTCTGCTCTAGATAGTACTGCTATAGTAAATGTCAATAAGCTGCTAAACCTCATTAACAGTTATTGTTTTAGATGTCAATGTCACTCTCATATGTCACCCTAGTCAGTGTGATACTAGTCAGTTTTTGGAGTCTTTGGCAAGTGAATTGTGATTTCTTACTAACTGTGTTATGCAAAGTGTTATCTGTGTTTTATGTACATTACCTGTGTTAAATCATCTAGTTCTTTTTCAGGGTTTGTCTTCTTCAATAAAACCCATAAAAAATATTCTCAGAGTGTCGAAGTGTTCTGGGTATAAATCAGAGGTGTCACCAGATTCAGGTGGGAGCTGAACCTATATATCTAGCCAAGCATCAACCGGAACATTGCCAAGATACGTTCCTTCCTTACCCCAGACACCACTAAACTACTCGTACACTCCCTGATTATCTCACGCCTTGACTACTGCAACTCTCTCCTCACCGGCCTATAAATCGGAGGTGTCACCAGATTCAGGTGGGAGCTGAACCTATATATCTAGCCAAGCATCAACCGGAACATCGCCAAGATACGTTCCTTCCTTACCCCAGACACCACTAAACTACTCGTACACTCCCTGATTATCTCACGCCTTGACTACTGCAACTCCCCTCCTCACCGGTCTACCCCAGTGCAAACTCTCCCCGCTTCAGACCATCCTGAACTCAGCGGCCAGACTCATCCACCTCACCAGCCGCTCCACCTCTGCCACCCCCCTCTGCCTCTTCCTCCACTGGCTCCCCATTGCCCAGCGCATTAAATTCAAACTGCTCACTCTGACCTATAAGGCCATTCACAACACTGCCCCTAACTACCTCAACGACCTGATTCCCAGGTACCACCCTACCCATACCCTTCGCTCTTCACAGGACCTCCTTCTATCTTGCTCCCTGGTCTCCTCCTCCCACGCACGACTGCAAGACTTCTCCAGGTCCTCCCCCATCCTCTGGAACTCACTACCCCAATCCATCAGACTGTCACCTTCCCTCCTCACCTTCAGGCGCTCCCTGAAAACCCACCTCTTCAGGGAAGCCTACCCCACCCTCACCTAACAGCCGCTGCCCTTCCCTCCTCCTACCACTCCATCCCCCACAGCCATTTCCTCCTGTACCACTACCCCCTCCCTCCTAGATTGTAAGCTCGAAAGAGTAGGGCCCTCTTACCCCTTGTGTGCTGTTTGTTGTTACTGTACTGTTTCATGTATTGTCCCCCCCTCTATTGTACAGCGCTGAGCAAACCCTTTGGCGCTATATAAACTCGATAAATAAATAAATAAGCATCACCCAAGGGTGTGCTACATACTAATACATTTACATTTGTTTTTTTAGATAGACCTCTAAGTCACTATGCTTGGAATTCATAAAGACTGGTGCAGACAGATTGTGCAAAAAAGTCTTGTATGTATTCTAAAACTGGTACAGCTTGTGCCAAATTCATTTATCTGTCTAGAATTTGAATTTGGCACATGCTGCAGCACTTTTAAAAAGCATGCTAGACCCTTTCGCAAAATCTGTCTGCCTCAGGGTCTCTCTCTATATGCCAAAAAGAGTCTTAAGTAACTTCACTTTTGTAAGATAAGAACTGTCAGTATTTTATTTTTATGTTTAAGCAATTCATTCTGCCACAATGTAAAAGTGGCACATTTTAGAACTACCTGAATTTGGTGGACAAGTTGCTGTCAGAACCTAAAGTGTTGCATGTGTTTTTGAATTTGGTGCAATACGTTAACAAGAGGGATTAACGCCAGAAAAGTGGCACGCAGCTTTATTCAATTCCTCCCTATGTATTTTCCATATTATCACAGAAAATATTATGATATTTATTAGCCGTCACATTGAGCATACATTGGCAAAATACCCATGTTTTGGGTTGACAGGGATAACAGTGGCCAACCCTGCCTTGTTAGTACCTTCTGCTGAACTGGCTGAATTTCAGTCAGTGTGTAGCCCTCTCTGCTCAACAGGATCTGATCATTAAAACGGTCCTGCTGAAGAAGCAACATTTGATCAGCCACTGCAGCCATTGGCTGCAGCACTGATTTACATATATCAAGGGGGGAATCCCCACTGTCAGAATTCAATAGCTCAGATCCCTGCATCCACATTGCGCTGAACGAAAAAAAAAAAAAACTCATTAGAATTGATTTACTAAAGCTGGAGAGTGCAGAATCTGGTACAGCTGTGCATGGTAGCCAACTTCTAACTTCAGCTTGTTCAATTAAGCATTGAAAAAAAAAAAAAAAACTGGAAGCTGATTGGTTTCTATTCAAAACTGCACCAGATTTTGCTCTCTCCAGTTTTAGTAAATCAATCCTATTTTGTGTACCTAGCTTTACTTTCCCCTATCTTGAATTGACAGTTCAGCTATAAAGATTTTGCTATAAACATACACAGGCTTGTTGTGTATTTATTTTTTTAATTTCTTTTTTAAACTACAAATTGAGTCATGCCCTCCAAAACCCTATACCTTTTCTTTTCTGATAGAAATGTTGGCAGCCAGTTGACTGAACTTCATAAAATTTGCTCCAATTTACCTAACTTGACTCCACAAATTATTTCCTTTTTTTTAATTATTTATTTTTAAAGGGACGAAAAAATCCCACACACCATTCAGTGGAAAACCTTATACATTTTATAGTAGTACAATAAATGGTAGCTGGTGTACAACTACATAGCCAGCTAGACAGATACACTAAGACAGCATGCTCCAGGTAAGTCTAAGAGGAACAGAGTATTTCTTTAGTAATTTTGATCAGACCTAAAGCTGGGTACACCCATATTAAAAATCGTCTGGTTCAGCAGGAACCTGCCAAATTTTGGTACTTGTGTAAAATTGCTTGTTCAACAAAAGCTGGTCTCATGACTGGTTTAAATCGAATGGCCATGCTGGAAAACCAGAATACAACAGCACAGCGGAAGAGATCCCTGCATCAACATCACTTGCGTTGATGCAGGGATCTGTGAGTTTCTTTTTATTCAAGCCACTAGTTGTACAAAAAAAAAAAACTCACAATGTATACCATGCTTAAGTATGCAGTGGGACAAAGGGAAAGGGGTGGGGGGGAAGGAACAAAGAGGGAAAGACATAGATCTTTGGAGGAAGTATTGTGTTATGTTAGTGTGCAAGATGTTCAGTTTGGCCATAAACATTGGGCAGCTAGTGATTATCTATACTCTTGTGAACTTTTGAAATAAAACAGATGAGATGGAATTTACAGGAGTACCTCGGTTTATGAATTTAATGTGTTCTGCGGGACTTTTTGTATTGCGAAAAATTTGTAAACCGAAACACGGCTTCCCATAGGAATGCATTGAAAACCAATTGATCCGTTCCAGAGGTCAGAAAAAAGTAAAAAAAAAAGTCTTTTATCTCTTTAAAACTCTGTATAAAGTGCACTTTAAAGGCATAAATACTGTACAGGGACATGATTAATAATTAATTCATAAATGCATTGAAAAACAATTAATCTGTTCAGGAGGTAAGAAAAAAGTCAAGAGAAGTTTTATCTGTTCAAGACTCTTTATAAAGTGCAGTTTAAAGGCATAAAGGAACATGATTAAAAAAAAAAAAATTGTAAATGCATTGAAAACCAATTAATCCATTCCAGAGGTCAGAAAAAAGTAAAAAAAAAGTCATCTGTTTAAAACTCTTTATAAAGTGCACTTTAAAGGCATAGTACTGTACAGGGACATGATTAAAAAAAATTTGTAAATGTATTGAAAACCAATTAATCCGTTCGTATTGCGAAAAAAATTCGTAAACCGAGGCATTATTTTCAATGGATTTTCATTCGTAAACCAAAAATTACGTTAACCGAGACGTTCGTAAAGGTACACCTGTATCATGTTGTTTTCATAGTTATTTGGTAAAGTCTACCATTACTATAATGTAATTAATTTTTTTCAAACCAGAAGTCGATTGACGATGGAGTAGATTACTTCCAAAGATGAGGCATACAAGCTCAGGCTGCATTCATTAAGTTAATGGCTAAAGTATTTGATATAGTTGTTTGGAGAAGTGATAAAGAGCAAGCATGCCTCATGATCATTTCACAATTAGCTTTTTACTGAGAGCTGCAAGTTTTTGAGCTTTTTAAGCCTGAACACACAACTAGAGAAATGTATACTGGGGGATTGGGAATACACAGAGCTAGACATATGGGCATTGGCATCTTGAACTGAGCAGGTTGATGGGTGATAATTAAGATTCCAACAAGCTTGATAAGTTTTCCTAAATTTTGTCAAAAAACTATATACATTTGTTGTAAAGAGATTGAGTACATTGTA